TATCGACTATTTCAAATTGTGCACGGGGGATTAAAATAATTTTTAACACGTATTTTTTAGACACCCGGCTTTGTGCGAAAAGGTTATTAACATTGTGATAACCTTCAGATCCCACGTTATATGTTGGTTAGGATTTAGAAGTACAGTAACTGTCCACACAGAGACGTTTTCCGCCATTTTGTCCTCGTTCTGTCCCACCCGCATGCGCGCGCAGTTGTGTACCTCCTCATCCTCGCCAGAGTCACCGCGTGCCCGCGAAGCCTGCGACGCGAGGACTCCCCTGTAGACGAAACCGTTGGTAACAGGAAAATGTCTACATTGAGACAGTTGTGTTAATAACCGACACAGCGCTCAAGAAATCACGTCCTGAATTTGTCAGGTAATCAGGTTGTTTGTGTGTGTACCTATGTACAATGTCGTTCCAACCTGGAGCATTACCAAAGTAGTGGTAAAATGGAGGGCATTTTTTTCAAAGGGCCAGAATAAGCCCATATCTTGTTGGACGTACTGTAAAATCGCGTCTTTTACTGCTATCGATCTGCCGTGAAAATGCTAATAGTTTAGGTTGCACAGTTATTTTAAAAGTCTCTTAAGTGTACTATTATCCTACCACCTTACCCCACACTTTGAGTCAGAACAATATTTAAAGGTTTTAGCAAATCTTTGTGAAAATGTAAGGTAAACAACTGCTGAACTTTTACAAAGTAAACAATATCAGTAATAACATCTTGTCATTTTAATAGATAATTAGTTGCAAAATGTTGTCGTTTATTAGATAAATCACATTTAACCAATTTTTTAAATGCTGCAAATTGTCTGTCATGGAGATTTGTAAAAGGTAACAGTGCAGGACTGATGACTTATTTAATCACAAGCTCTGCAAATGAGTACAAGGGACAATATACACTATCAGATTGATGCTGCAATAAAGGGATAGAGCAAAATTAAAAAAAAATATTAAAGATGCTTTTTACTTGAAAATATGCAATAGATATCTTTTGTATTTGCAGATTTTTATAAGACAGGCATGTCACAATAGGTATTTTGGATATGTGGATCTGGTATTAAAACAAATGTATTTTGCTTTTAACACATTCACGCTGCAGAAGGATGCTTTTTGTTACGCAGGCGTATACAGACTCTATCCGAGCTACCAATAAGTCAGTTAAAATGTACAATAACTTTTTTCCTAGAGAACAGATGCTGTAAATTGATGTGAGAAAGAGTGTGTTGAAGAGCTTCTAATTTGCATCTGCCCAGGAGAACAACAGTTTCTACGGCTGCTGCTGAAAATGGATCAGTTCCTGTTTAGGAAAATAACCTCCACCCCAAAACAAGATCAGTCTTCAGCAGAGGTGTGTAAGGTTTCAGCAGTACTGTCTGAGAGGTCTCCTTTAGAGAAATACTTTGATTAGAGGGAGTCCAGCAAACCAAACTGAAGTCTACAATTGGAATAAGTAATCCATCTATCCATCTTAATGACAAAAAATAGATAAACCAACACACACGCTGATGTATTCTTAAACAAATCATTTATATCTTTGATTTGTAAAAGGCAAGAAAATTCTCTTCTTATTGCCTTGCACTGTACTGTAAAACCCTAGAAGGCAATGGCTATACATAATATAAACTAATTGAGGCACCCTGTATGTTTATTCTTGAAAAAGGTATTTGAAAATGAACTCTGTTTTATAAAATAAAAAAGTTCTCTACACCAATACAGTTTGTCTTTCGGATCAAGAACCCAGCTATCAATGAAAATGAGTGAGAGTTTTAATCCTAGAATGCATGTACATATTGTGTGGCCATAGTATCAAGAATCTTGAGATGTTTTTTCGGTGCTCTATTGGGGTCTCTTGTAAAAGTAATGAAATGCAGTAACGGACAAATAAATCATGAATGAATTTGTTAAAAATAATTTGTATCTTTAAAGAATCTATGCACTTAATTATTGTTTGATCCAGCATAGAGGCCACAGCCAGTCTTTTTTTAGCCTTAAATTACCCAGATTAGGAAGATATTTGAGTAAGGCCTTATTGTTTGATTCCAAACAATTAGTAGCCTTCCCCCTTTTATTTTCTCACGATGAAATATCCATAGATTGTCTTGGACTATTTCAAGGTTAAAATCTTATTAGCCTCTTTATGTTTATGTGTCAATATTTTCCCTTCTTCTCAACCTCAGGACACAGATGAAGGGTTAGGAACAGACGGTCAGTCAACAGCAGATAATTCTTTTTTTCTGAACCTGGATGAGACCCGTGAACACCAAGTAAGGTAAGATAAAGTTGGATTTCATTCATTAAAATACATTCAGTGAAATATTTGCAAATACTAGGGTTTGGTAGTCACGAAGTATTAATCTTGAATCTTGAATCATCCTACTTAAGGGAATATCCCCCAACCAGAATTTCTCCTTTGTCAACAATCCTTAAAAAAATCATCTTTTTTTAATTGTAGAATCTCATTTAGAGGAAGATACTGCAGAATGGTGTTGGTGGATTCAGATTTTTGTATTGAAATGATTTGAAGTACAATCATTGTGAAGAAACGTTTTTTTTTTTAAGAATTAGCCATTTTAAAATAATCTTGGTTCTAAAGGACATTGAACCTTTGCAATCATGTAATTGAAACATCCAGTTTTTATTTTATCTTTAATATCCTAAATTGTCAGGCTTGCTTCTGCCACCAAGACCAAAATCTAATTAGTGAGACTCATTTCATTCCTAACAGTGAATCACATGACTTAGAGTCAAATGAAAATAGTAGTTTTCAGACTGAAGTGGATCAGGAAAGACTTGATAACTCTGTGTTTGTAAAGATCTAATTACTGGAAACAAGAGTTTGGTATTCATTGAGGTTTAATAACTGAAATTAGTATGTTCAGTACCAAGCAGATATCACACTCTCATTCAGCCTGTACATTCTTACAGTCTGTACAGTCACTGCAGGCCATATCATTTTGTTTGTTTTTCTGTTTGAAGTGATTCGTCTGGCGTTGAAACCTCCAGCAGCGATGCAGATATGGTTCCTTCTGAGCAATCAATGTATTTCTCTGCTCTCAATTCGAGGATCGAAGAGATAGGGAAAAAAGCTCAGGACTTGATTGAAAAGCTCAACGAGAGCCGGAAAGAAAACGATGAGTTAATGAACAATTTCCAAGACAAGATTATGATGAAGGTATTTCATTTTCTTAAAAATCGTCATCAAGACTTTTTTTCCTTTATGCCATTGAGAAAATAATAAGATCCTTAACTTTCAGCTTTTCCTCATTGATACAGACTGTATGTCACAGAAATAAAGAAGATCTCTCCACAGTGATGCTTATTTGGGATTTTGTATTTTTAAGATAAAAATGTATCCTTTTTTTATATAAATACTATGTGCTTTAATTTCAGGTGATTTGAAAAAGTACCTTTCAGATTGAGTTTAAATATTTTATCCCCTTTAGCTGAAATAGGCTATTCAAATAGTCTAGTACTCAACACACAATAATAACAAATGGTACACTACACAACGTAACACATCCCAGATCTGACTTTTACGACTCTCAGTGTACACTAACAGTCATTCACCTTCAATTCTGGAGTTAAGAACATGGCAGCATGTTCTCAAGAACACAAAAGAACCACAAAATCAACGGTGAGAATATAAAGATAAAGATGTTCGTCCTTTCAGGTAGAAAGCCTATGCCAGCAGATGAAGGACCACATGTGTGAGGTGTATGAGGAGGACAACATGCTGGTGGAGGAGAAGCTGCAGCAGCTGTCAGAGTCCCTACAGAGGAGCAGGCTGCTGAACATGGAGCTCCATGGAGCCAGCCAATCTCTGAGGACCATCAACAAGTGCTTATGTTTCCCAACAGACCTTTGACATTCTACCACTTAGAACTATAGAAAACCTGTAAAACTTTAGAAGAAAGAAAATGTCAATTCTGGTCTCCCAAATCAGATGTGCATTCAGATTGGAAGGTTGCTCCCAGGGGTGTGCCAAACTATGATGTTCCCAGGTGTTTTCTTCAAAGTCCTGTTCTTAACAGGCATCTTTCAGTGCAAAGGCAGGTTGCTTTTTGAGATGTCAAACTGTGTGCTGTGTTTAATTCAAAGCTTTTTTGACAGCTCCAAAACCAGGTATGCTTCACATCAAACTTAAATTTCTGAAAAGTTTTTAATTGATAATACAAATGCGTTATTCATATCAGTCATCAGTGAGTACTTGGGAGTAGCACTGTGATATAATGGCAGAAACAGAATACAGCCGTATTCTGATACATAACAAAACTGCATACCTGAATACTGCAGTAATCGGCCAATGATAAACAAAATAGGTTACAGCCATTGTGTTTTGCATTACTGGCTGTTAATTATCGGTGTGTTTTTGTTAGAATTTCAAAGCTGCAGTATATAACTAGATTTAGGAAAAGGAGAAGTTATTGTGACAAAGATGTTTAAAAACGTTTAATTATCCTTGACAAGTTATAGACATTTGAAGATTGTAGATACCTGTAACCTGCCTTGAATTGGAATATATCCGTAAGGTAAAAGACTAAAAGGAAAATCTGTATTTGGCACTACCTGTTGTTTTTAGTTTAGTCAGAAAGGGATGTTGTGCTAAAGCTTGACAAGATAAGTATATCTTTTGTATAATGTTTAAAATGTTTTTTTTTCATGATTTCAAAAATAGTCTCCTGTTTCCCATGTTTTCAGCATTCTTTAGAAGAGGTGTATTAATGCAATCTCTGTAAAGAAACATATTTCCATATTTCATTGATGTATTGTCTAAGTATATTCCATAATAGAGATGCTGCATTCTCCCCAAAACAACCTTTGTTTGCAGTGTTTTAGAACTATTACTTTGATTTTATGAAATTATGAATTAGTCTGCAGAACAACAGGATTCTGTGAATTCATCGAGTGCTCACTGTCATCATATTTGAACCTTTGGAAAATTCTAGCAGTCTACAATAACAAAAGGGAAAAAATCTTTTAAAAATATAGGCCATCAATTTACTGGCTATTTTCTCCTTTTGGTGGCTGTAGCGTAACTGCAGTACAAGTGAACAGATGCTCACATATAAAAAATATAGACCTCTGGTAATACTCAATAATAGTAATTCTTATAGTACTAGTAATAGTTTAAAATCCTTTCAAAACAATAGAACCCTTTATCATAAAAATATAACTCGGCAAGAGTAAAATGATTTACTGGTAAAAAATGCTTTTTAAGTTAATTTATGCATTGGGTAAATCCTAATGATAAAGTCGAATACAGATCATTCAGTAAACTGGACCAAGGTTATGAAGGAAGTAAGTCAATTTCATCTGCTGGACTATGGACTTCCTGCTGGATCCCATGGAAGGCAGAAAGGGATGAGGTGTCAGGGCAGCTCAACTCTAAGCAGGACATTTTATTTGTCCTGCAAACAGAATACCAGTGCCTCTTCTCGCCATCTTCTGCCCTACAGCTTAGTCTCTCTCTTGTACACAGGCTATCTTCTAAAAATCTGCTGCTGCTGGTTCCCGGTGAGTAGATTCCCCAGTACCCTATTTGTTTTTAAAGATGAATGATTGCAACATTTTGTTTCCTAGAAGGTGAGAGGGCATACAGGCTCAAAGATAGCAGGTAGAGTGAAACATCCATATCTTATCCACACTTGCGTCATGCACTCAGTTTACTGGTATCTATTGACACATACTATAGTTTCTTTATATTTGAAAAAACAGTGCTTTTAGTCTTCTTTACAGGTCTTCTGTTTGTTGTCGTTGTTACAGATCTATTATTTGTTGCCTAATTCCCAACCTCACCTACTTTCACTTAATTTCTCATTGTGTAAACGGTTAAATGTCAATGTTCATTGTGAATAAAATACACCTGCCTAGATGATTACATCTGCCTTAATATTAGTGTAGCAAAAAATAGACTCAAAAATCATTAAGTACAAAAAATAATTTGAGTGAGTGAGATTTCCATTTCATGCTGGAGCACTGTTCAATACTGCCTACACATTATATCTGAAAATGTTGAGGAACAACTGTAAGAAAATGTGTAAGAAAGTTGACTCTTTGGTACATTTTTTAATACAGTAAACCATACAGCTTTACTAAAATAATCTGCATCGAATTAAATTTATTTATTCTTCATTTACACAGCACATGGCTAAATATCTATTTCCAGCCAGAAAACAAATACTTTTTCCTAGTAAATTACCCTAAAACTTTAACAAATCCATCTTGAAGAAACTGTTTCACTAAAAAGGTGTCTGCTGTCACTCTCTAAATAAGAAGCCTAGTCAATACCTCAAACTGTTCGAATTTAATAATTACAGTAAAGTGTCTGCTCAACACAGTCCTAAAGATAGAAAAGAGAAGTGGTAAATAGTTTAGGCTTGAACCTAAAATTATTTTTTGTTGTTTTAAAAATGACTCAATGTTGCATGAAGTGTTTTATTTTAGACAAAATAGAATCCTCCAACAGTCAACAAAATCCAGTTCTTTCAAAACAGATTAGATTAGTGAGGAAGTGGTGGAAACTGTAGAACAGTAAATTCTAAAGTGCACAATGTAGGCAGCTTTTTCTCTTACACATAATCAGTAACTTAATGTTTTTTCAAAAATAAAGTTCTGCTAAGTTATTAAGTAAGATGATCGATGCACTATCAGTCAAAAATAAAACTTGACAACATTTATTGCAGAAAAAATATGGTTTTACATTTAAATAATCTTTAAACTTATAATGCTTGGCAGACCACAGTACACAAAACAAGTTATTTTCAGTGAGCTCTCAAGTCACAAAGAAATTTATAAGAACAAAAGCTTATATTCTGCTAGAGCCCACCTGATTTTCTTTTACATTTGAAGCAACGATCGGCACTAACAGTCTCGAGAGGAATCGTGGATGTGCGTATTTTAAATAGAACAGAAGTCCAAACTCCAAACTTGATTTCATGGGGAAAAAAAGTTCTATACAGTTTCAGATTAAAACAAAATTTCAGTAGATTCCAGATTGGAAGCCTTTTTGGGAACAATTAAGAATCTCTGGACCTGGTTCTTCTCCCAAAGAGTCTGAAGATCTACTTCTGGACGGTGAAGGATTGCAGCCCAGTAATTGCTCTGCCCAAGATCAACGCATGGATGTCATGAGTCCCTACAACAGGAAAAGGAAAAGGTGAACACCCTCATTTTACATTGCAAGTCCAATTAGAGGAAATAAAAAAAGCAGAAAATCAAAACCCAGATAAGGACTCTTTCAAGGCAACAAGATTAGTTTTCCATTAGGTATTCAGCTCAAGTTTTAAATATTATACCTCCAAGATATTCAGGTGTAAATTAAATGCAGAAAGGAAAAATGAGCATGATGATTATATCAACATTAAAACCGCTATGTTGAATACTATTACAATTAGTCATTTAAACCAGCATTTTTCATTCAGTGTGCCATCTGAACTCCTCTCATTTGTTACCTTAATCATCATTTTAGGTGGTGATAGTGTGATTAGATCTTTTTCTTTAGACCATGAAATGCATGCTACCCATGACCAGCCCCAAATTCAAAAAAAAAAAGTGTCATAAACTTGTTAAAACAAGTAATTTCTCATGGAGCAAAACTGTGAAAACTGCTGCAATTATAATGGTGTAAAAGATTGTTTTACAAAGCACTGCGGTGGTGTTTAATATGATTTTGGATTTTTTCACAGTTTCAACTTCAACACCAAGACCTGTTAATCACTGGAGCGCAGACCTACAGATTTAGTTCCAATCATTCCAGTAGATTGCAATAATATATGGCATACGTCATACCAATGGAATGGCATGTGTCAGTTTTGGCTTTCTTACAATAAGATTATACTAAGTATGACTTTATTTTTGTACTTAATTTGATGGAATGTGCTGGGATTGTGTCATACAGAAAGCATGGAGTTGATGTGAAAGTGGATGGGTTAGAATTAAACTCCCATTTTCCATAATTGCTTGAAAATATCCGACTATCAGCAAATCTTTGTATAAGCACAGTGGCATACAGTCTTGTACGCAAGCGCATTGCTGCCACCAAGGGAAAAAAAATTCCTCACCCTTACTAATTATCTCGTAATTCGAGATAGTAAATCTCGCGTACTTTATGTGATCATGCGATGGCACAATTGTCATATAATACCTATATCGCTACGTGCGGACTTGCAGTTTTAAGCAGTGGAAGTGATTGCACGTATAACTGTTCATAACGGAACCATCATTGCCTTGATTTCTAAATCCCACAAAACTGGTCCTCATGCTTATAATGATTCTGTTCACATTTGCTAAAAATGGCAAGATTTCATTATGACTAAACCCCATTTGGAAGTAAATCTGTACAAATTATGCAGCGCTGGACATTAAATCATTAAACAGAAAGTGCCAGCCACATTCACAGTAGCTTCTAGATGCCTTCAATGCACAACATAAGTTGTACATACAGTGAAGTAATCATTGCTATCTCATAATTCTGAGAGAATGTGTTATCTCATAAATATATAGATAAATATATATATATAGATATAGATAGATATGTTATCTCATAAATATGAGATAAGGGGGTGACTTTTTGTTTTTCCCCTTTGTGGCAGCAATGCACTTCAGTAGTGTTGCTATTTGTAATCTATTGCAGCAGGTACAGTGGGTGTAGAAAGTATTGATCCTCACTGGAACTCTACCACATTTTGTTGTTAAACTTCAAATTGCATCAAACGTTGATAGAGCATAATCAGTTTTGACCGTAAAAAACAATTTGAGGAAAAATAGAAAACTGCTTGGACAACTATTCACTGTCCCTGAGACCTTAAGAATGTTACATTTATTCTCTTTCCCTCTTTTAACAATCACAGCCTCAGGTCTTTTATGGGATGTTGAACCCAGCTTTTTCCATCTGCGGGTTTAATTTTCACCAACTAAAACGACTTTGCAAGTAGCCTCACAAAGACAGGTGTTAATCGCTAAAGTGGTGAATACTTTTCCAATGGAGATTTTTAAAGGGAATGTTTTTTAACTAATTTATTTTATAGCCCCAAACTTTTAAACATTTTTCTGCTAAAAATACACAAGTCAGTCAGTCACGTCTTCCATTTGTAACACAACAAAATGTGGTAAAAATACAGTGGAGATCAATAGTTTCTACACCCACTGTAAACCTTTATAAAAAAAACATACATCCTATTCAGGTACTTCATAATATTGTGAAAATCATAATAAACATTTGTTTTCACTACAGATCTTTTTTTCCAAAGGCTGTACATTAGTAAATGAAATTAAAAACTATCTACTTCTGGCATTTTTGGGGAGAAGATGGCGCAGTGGTTAGCAATGCTGCCTCACAGTGTTGGGGCCCTGGATTTAATTTCAGACCGGGGTGTGCTGTCTGTGTGGAGTTTCTATGTTCTCTCCAGGTTTGTGGATTGCCTCTGAGAGCTCTGATTTCTTCCAACAGTCCAAAGGCATGCTGGTAGACGAATTGACTTCTTGGAAATTTGGCCCTGGTGTGGGTGCGTTTAAAGCTGTGTCTGTGTGTGCGTCCTACAATGGACTGACAACCCATCCAGAGTGTATCCGCCTTGTGCCTGGTTCTTACTGACATGAATTGGATAAAGCAACTAGAAGATGGCTGGATTTTGTGAGAAACGATGATTTGTGGAAGAATGGTTGGAAGAAGGCACTCGGCCAATGACCTCCCGCCTCAACCTGCAAATTCCAAACCGTGGTTATGCTGCCCTCTAGTGGTAATGCGCTGCGCTGCGCCAACACTCAAAGCTCTTCCCCTACCCTCGTAGGTGTTGACGGCCTCCAGGTTCATAACGTGGCGAATGATGTGGTACTCATCGGCAATGCCGTTGCCCCCCAGCATGTCGCGGGCCTGCCTCGCGATTTCCAGCGCTTTTCCGCAGCTGTTGCGCTTCAGCATGGAGACCATCTCTGGCGCAGCCCTGCAGAAGATAAAACACACCCGTGAGACCCTGTTTATTCATGAAGCATTTCCCCCGATACTCCTTTCACACACATACTGAACCTACTGTATAAATAAGCAGGGCTGTGCAGTCTTCATCCAACACAGAGGCCTGTCTTTGATTTAATTGGCTAAAATTAATTGAATCTGGCTGGGTGCATACAAAGCCTACAGTAAAATCTGTGTTCACTTGTAAGGAAGCTCTTTATTTCACAAATCTAGAATATTGTCTATCAGCAGCCTAATATTATACTCATGAAACACTTAAGGGCTCTTTAGTTAATTGAGTTGCAAATGGAAACAGACCTCCCTTGAGGAATGAGGTGCTACCCTCCCTGCTAATGGAGTTTATTTTCTCCAAAATATCCCTAAAGGGACAGCCCTAACTAAAGCAAAAAGCTTCTTTCCTCTCTTGTCTACAACACTCAAGTACGGTAACATCAGAACAGAGGTGAATATATCTAGGAAAGCCCAATGTAGTACAACAGTGGAGGGTATTTTAGGCATTCAAGCACGTTGGCTTTAAAAGATAGTTAGCTGATGCTTTAAAGCTTGAGGTGGCTTCTTAAGATCATAAGAAAGATGAGAAGAGTTCCATCAAGCCCTTTCGTGGCTAACTGATCTGAGAATCTCGTCTTGAAAGAAGCTTCAACAACATGGCTGGGCAGCTTGTGCCAGACCCCCCTTGACCCCTCGTCTTTTTCCCCCCAGGAAGGGAACTGACACCGGTTCTCACATAACAACCACAGTTCTCCTCACTTCTTGTCTTCTATGAGGCGCCCCAGCCGCAGACAAGCCTGCAGGCCCAGCGTGATCTCTGTCAGCATGTCGGCCATCTTCTTCTGCATCAGCTGATTGCGCGCCAGGGGCACACCGAACTGGATCCTGGGGGAAACAGGCCTTTTACTACCCGAGCACCACCAATTCAGGTAACTCAGGTAAGATGACTCCCTCTGCGTGGTGTTTCAGTCCTTTTCACCCCCCCCTACACTAATGGTAACCAGTTTCTGTTCCTGCCCCAGACCTGTCTAGTATTTTTTCAGTGTGATCAAGATGTCTGGAATGAGTGCTCAGTCTGTGGCTTGTAAAACCAGGAACAGCTCCTGAGAATCCGGTAGACTCATCAGTTCCCCTGTCAACAGCTGTAATGTCAGTACTCAATCACATACTGACTGCCTGCTCAAAAGCAATTCATATGGGTGGAGACAACTGTAAAGCTTTACTGTAGCTCCAGACTCCAGGTAGCTGGACATGTTTATAAGGTTAAAATAAAAGGGTTTGTGTGCAAAGGTTGCAGTTGATTATGCTGTGTGTGAACATGGCCTTCACTGTCTACAGTCTTCAACGCAAACAAACTTAGGACACATTTTATGATGAGGGAAATGTGACAGTGTTTCAGTCTGAGAACATAAAAGTCGGAAATAGCACGGTCTTAGTTGCTACTCCAAGATCCAAGGAATTCACTCAATTCCCTTCCAAGAGAATCTTTTTTGGTTATTAGCTGTTGCAAATCTTGCTACGCTGTTCCATGCGATCCTCAACCCGTCAATTCGATGATGTCTTAATTTACCAGTGAAGGAAAAATAATTTCAGTTCCCTTCACCATCTTCAAATCCCATTCTGAGCAGAACCAAAGAGACACTCGACTCACAACAACACAAGAAATGGAGCCAACATAAGATAAAGCAGAGGTTGTGCAATTGTCTTTACGATCAGAGGAATGGAGCACTCACCTGTCCAAGGTGTACTGGCGAGCCGCATGGAAGCAGAATTCTGCTGCGCCCAGCGCACCCCAGGCGATGCCGTAGCGGGCATTGTTCAGGCACCCAAAGGGACCCTGCCAGACAAGCGAGAGGCAGGCAGAGAAAGTTGTCACATCTGGACTTGTGGAATTATGTTGAAGAAGTGCAGGGCTTGCACCTAGAGGTCTCTCTCAATGCGCTCATTAGAGTTTGCATCACCGATGAAGTCGATGTAGGGTAACGTCATGGGCGTGATCGCAAAGGAGAAATTCTTTCTGATATTACAAAGTAGTACAAAAGCAGATTCGAGTGCTTTGTGATGGATCTAGAATGTGAGATGTGTAGTAATGTGTCTAGAGAATGTGCATCCTGCCTTTCATGTCCTTTCATCAGCAGACTGAGCTTGCAGTCCACGCCCATCTTTGCGATCATGCGGAATTTCAACAGTGCAGATCTGATCTGACGCTGGCACTGCCCGCAGGGCGCAAAGCAGGTTTGGCAAACCTTCCGTCATCGCTTGTGCTCCTCCTACAGTGATCTCGAATGCCTGCCGCGCGAGTTCGGAGACAAGGACGTGAGATTTCGAGGCAGCTTTGCTGCGGCGCCCCCCTCCTCACCCCCAGGCCGCTGGCATTGGGCAGCAGGTTCTCCTCGGGCACCTCCACGTCGTCCATCAGAATCATGCCGGTGGCAGAGGCCCGCAGGGAGAACTTGCCCTCGATCTGGGGCGTGGACAGCCCCTTCATGCCGCGCTCCAGCAGGAAGCCCCGCACCTTGCCGTCCTCGCACCTGGCCCACACCACGCACAGGTCAGCGACGGGGGAGTTGGTGATCCTGCGCGAGACAGCACCAGAGCCAGGCTGAGAGGTGACTGCCTTCAAGCATTAGGCAAAGATCTACCAACTTCTGGAAGATCACTCCAAAATCAAACCTGACGTCTAGGAAAACTCGGCTTTAAAGAGCAACTAGATTCTGTTCTGTTGCAATACACCTAACCTAATGAGACGGACGACAGACTCTAGGGCCTGATGTTCCCAGGGGGAAAACTACTCATGTAATTCTCTCACCGCAGAGCAGGTCATTGGCCCAAAGAGAAAACGAGAGCCCTTGACTCAACCCGTGCTTTTCAACCTCACCTCCAAACCTTTTGCTTTTGCTTTTACGTTTATTTATTGTCATGTATAATCTACTCATTTTCAGTTTGTGCGTTCTGGTTATATTTCTGCCACGCACAGCGGCAAAGGTTTTACCAACTCTGGCTTTACAGCTGGAAGTGTAAAGTACGGATAATTACGCTGAAAGAAAGTTTTATCGGGTAATATAAGTTATATGGTCAAATAAAATAAGAAGAAAAGTCAATGCACTTTCTCTCTCGAAACTCCACATAGGCGGGGCTACTGTTAGCTAAGGTGTAAATTAACAAAATAGCACCTTTCAAGACCTATCTTCCACACCTCCTGCAGAAGCCCGTTTCCCAACAAGGGCTTTAGCATGTTTTATTGATATAGAACTGCATATCTGTGCATTTTTGTGGTATACCTATATCGGTAGGCAGCACCCTCCCTTCACTTCCAGACCTTGGGTGCTATCTGTGTGGAGTTTGTATGTTCTCCCCAGGCTTGCATGGGTTTCCTCCCACAGTCCAAAAACACACTTGTAGATTAATTACAGGCAAACTGGCCCTGGTGTGAATGTCTGTGTCTGTGTGTCTGCCCTGTGATGATGGACTGGCGTCCCATCCAGGGTGTATCCTGCCTTGCATCTGACAGGCTCTAGCTACCCGATGACCCTGAATTCTACAACGGGATTAGAAAGTAGATGGATCTATATCTGTTGATACAGATCTACAGGGACGAACCTCTACAGGCTACAGGACTAACTGACTTGGATCCCAGTCAGGAAATAACGAAGGCTTCCGAAGGCACCGCGTGTCTATAAATCAGTACCATGTTTTGGAGCCGTTCAGGGTGAAGGTCTGGCTGGAGGAGTTGTAGCGGGCGCGGGTCTCCATGCTGCTCGGGTCGCTGCCGTGGTTGGGCTCCGTCAGCCCGAAGCAGCCCAGCATCTCCCCCTTGGCTGAGAGAGCACACAGGTCAGCCCCGCACGCCCCCACCGCCAACAGCAGCAGCTCGGAAAATACCCCAGTGACGAGGCAGGGAGAGCCCACCAAGGAAAAGCTTCCTGTCTGGGGTTCATCCTCCATTTGTAACTGACTACTCTAACTCAGAGGCCCCGACTAGCTCTGCGGGTAGAGCACGAGACTCATTATCTCAGGGTAGTGGGTTCGTGTCCCACGTCGGTTACCAGGTCCTCCATGTTGAGGTTGGGCACGAGGCTAACAACTCTGTCCCGTAAAAAAACGAATGTAAGAGAAACAGCAACAGGTTGTTGCTGCCCTACATGCCGGAAGGCATAACGGGCAAACACACGCACACTTTTACTCAGACCTCATTCATTCTGTAAATGATGCCTTACAAAACCCAAAATAAATTTTGGCAATATTTTCTTAAATCTTCAGGAATATTCAAAGCACATTTCAGCACAGATTATTTTTCAGTTACACAACTACTGATTGATAACTGCTTCTCTTGTGGATGGTTCCTGGCTAAACCTTAGAAAACGAAAAAGGAGCATTTTAAAAGGGATTTAAAAAAAAAAATCCACAACAATCACAATAAAGGAAATATGTCCTTAATAATAAATTAATAAATAAAGGAGATGTCCGATTACAGCCGTCTAATTAACCGGTCATGCCCTCTGTACAGGTGTTCTGCACAGGGGAGACGAAGGCCTGATTACCCAGCCTGGGCAGATACTTCTTCTTCTGCTCCTCGGACCCGTACGCGGAGATCGGGTGCATGACCAGGGACGACTGGACGCTCATCACGGAGCGGTAGGCGCTGTCCACTCGCTCCACCTCCCGCGCGATCAGGCCATACGCCACGTAGCTGGTCCCGGCACAGCCGTAACCTGGCGAGACACGGTCCGTGAGCGCTGAACAGGGGGACAGCAGGGGCGCCGGGGCACGTCGGCTGCCTGGTCTCGACTCACCTTTGATCGTCGGGCCCAGGACTCCGAGCTCTCCCATCTCGGACACAATCTCCCGATGGAAAACTAGGAATAAGGACAACCCACCAAACCCAGTCAATTGGAAGACAAGTGAAAAACTCCCATTTGCGTTCTAATTTGAAACCGATTCTATTGCTCTCCTCCTAGCCAGTCTGTACACTGTGGTTTAACTCTGGCAAAGAGGGGCTGCGTCTGCATTTCTCCCTGTATGTGAGGCATGATGGGGACCTTTTTATCACAGCAGCCCCAGTACAAACCCAGACTGCTGTGGTCTCCTTTACTGCTCCCTCTCACCTTCGTTCCGGTTAGCCATGAGAATGCGCGGCATCAGTTTCTCCTGGCAGTACGTCCGGATTGTGTCCCTGATCATGGTCTCCTCCTCTGTCAGCTGGCTCTCCAGGTCCAGGGCATCACGCCAGTCCATCTGCGCCTTGGCTGGGTGGGAGCCGAGTGGCAGCATTAACATATACTCTTTGTGCCCTCCCCCCTCTCCCTCCCCAGATAGGCAGATAAATGAGTTGTGATGGAACTAATGCAACCCGTAAGGACATTATGCCCAAGATCCATCCATCCATCCATCCATTCATTCATTCATTTTCTAGCTCTTTCATCCCATTCAGGGTAGCAGGGGAGCTGGAGATTATCCCAGCAAGCAACGGGTGAAAGGCAGGATACACACTGGATGGGATGCCAGTCCATCGCAGGGCACACACTCACACCAGGGCAAATCTACCCAGAAGCCAATTAACCTACCAGTATGTATTTGGACTGTGGGAGGAAACCCACAGAAAACATGCAAACTCCACACAGACAGCACCTCAGGTCCAGAATTGAACACAGGGCCCCAGCGTTGTCACACTAACCACGGCGCCACCGTGCCGCCCTACCCAAGATCCACTTGTTCAAGTTTAAAGATCAAGTATTTTCACCTAGGGATTTACACACTGGGTACTCTCTGAACAAAAGAAAGAGTACAAAAAAAAGAACACTTAGCGCATCTAGCTAGCTTATTTGTATATAGTAGTTTATAGCATCTTATCCAGCTACTTCTTGTGAGAAGCCAGAGTATCTGCTTCAACAACAGAGCTAGGCAGCTTGTTCCACACTCCCACCACCCTCTCCGCACAGACCGACTCATAGTAGCTTGAGATGCTTTAGAAGAGTACAGTATGTCGGCCCATTATCTCATGCTGTCACAGATCCCACTGGATATCTGGATTAAAAGGCTATTTTTGCGGTAGGATCATTCAAATTGCACTTACTTGTTTTGCTGGGTTTGTCCGTCTTCACCTCTGTCTCTGTAAGATTCAAAACCCAGGCCTCAGAACACGCAGAAAATAGAAGACAATGTGCCTTTGTCTTTGGTACAATGTAAAGTCTGAAAAAGAAATCCTGCATACAGAAGGAATCTCATTTTCTAAAGAATGAAATTGGAAGATGCTCTGCCTGTTGGCTCCCTAATGTATCCGTGATATAATTACACAAGGCAGCTTAAAGAGATATCTGTGGTTATGCAAAATTTGAAACTGAATTCAAATATATTTAGTCCTCCGCAAGAAAACAAGCTGCCTGAACAGACAATACATCTGCAACCAAACCACTTTTTTAAAGGAATCGCATAAATAAATCCATCATAAGACACCTGTCAGAAAGGTCACAAATTAGCGAAGACCCATCCGGCTCATCTGTTTCCCACTTCCAAGAGCCTTGTTCAGCTATTTCCTGAAGGATCTGCTTCAACCACATGGCTGGGCACTGATTTCATGTCCTCTTAATTCACAACCCTTTATGTAACAAAGTGCTGTCCTTTCCTAACTGCATTTCCTGTCAGCTCCCACCTGGGTCCTTCTAGGTGGTGAAGCTGCACTCCTGCTTGAGACTGTGAATCGGTGTCTCTTGTGATTTTAAACACAGGAATGAACCCTCCTGATAGCCTCCCCTCTCCAAAACTAAACCAATCTGGATTCAGAGCATCTCTAGTGCTACACCTCTCACCACCAGCTGCTGACACACATACAGAGGGCTGGTATTTCTGCCCCGGGGAGCAGGAGGACTGTGGGAGAAAACATCGCTGGACATGCAAACCGAAGAATCAGCTCGCAAAATTTCAGCCACGCAGCCCTTTGGGCCCCTCGAGGCCTGGAGATGACCATCGCCTGCCCCATGGTCAGAGCCGTTAAGGAATCTGGCTGTCTTACCCCTCTGAGCGGCGGCGGTGCCCTGCGCTCTGACAGCGCGGAACAGCGCCCCCCTTTGGATGGGCTGGAGCAGACGCACAGCTGCGCTTCTCAAGGCCATTGTGGGTTATGCTGGGGAGGGAAGAGCAAACATCCAGTCAGCTCAGCAAGACAGACCTGCCACTCTCAGTGGTACAAAAAGCATAAGCAGATCACCTAGAGCAACAGAGCTGGAAGTCTATTGGACTAAAGGAGCTGATTAAGATGTTGACTGGGATAAGTACAAAAGGACTCTGAGAATATTTCTGAGCTCTAGAAATCTCCTGTCAATTAGGTGTGTGGAAATGAAGAAACTGGACCTCCGCAGAACACAGTCGCTTTTTTTTCCCATCTGCAGGAGTATCTGGGGGCGATGTTGTTCCTCCACTTATGTCTGGAGTTCCCCTATACCATTAAAGTATCCACCTGAACAGCTGTTAAAATGCTTTGTCAGAAAGACCACTTAATAAACAAGCAGGTTTATTATCGCAACAACAGGTCAGATATTCTGAACAGAAACGGGTTTAAAAGTGCAAATCAAACAAGAAGTTCAATCAAAGGGATTAATTAACCTCCAAACTTGGTTAGAACCTGCACTGGAAGACACAGATCATGATGCCCTTCAGCAGCTGTGGAAATGACAGGGAAACATACAGCACGACTGAGACATCAGGATCTCCTGTGTCAAAGGAGCAGTTTCCTTTTTGCATAGTCTGTCATCATGCCAGTCTGAGTTTTTGTTTGGCAAACGAACAGTACGCCCTGTTGAAGGTATACTTTCAGCCGGAAAAAAGACTGTTTAGTTTAACCAATTCTTTTTCGTTGGAGTTGTGTAAAGACTTCAAACAGGAAGGACAGGCTTTACATCCAATCCTTGAACAGGATGACCTGCGTTTCCAGATGCTTTCTTAGTCCAAGAGTTTAAATTACTTTTATTCACCTCACATTCATATGTTGAAATGGATTACTCAAATTACAAACCCGTATTTCCTAAATCTACGTCCATTCGACATTTGAGAGATTAGGAACAAACCGAGATAAATCGAGGGTCTTCCGTAACTGCCTTTGAGAACAGAGTGCCTATTAACAGAATAACCTGTTTTACAAATAAGAAAACCGCGAATAAAAACTGTCATAAATAAAGGCTGCTTCTACTGTGTTCAGTTTGTAATGAACGGTATGTCGAGACACATACATTCCATAGTTAGTAGCGTGTTACGCAAGCATAACTCTCTGTGCGCTTTCTACGAAGATACCACAACGTATCGTACCGTAAAACAATTTATAGGAGGGAAAACGATAATAAACGTAGATATACTGTCACAGCGACACTGTTGCAGTATAATTCAGCGGCGTCCCTAAGGCTAAAGTTTTATTGTGAGGGCAGTCTGGTGACTTTTCTTGGCAACTGGCATCAAACCCCGGTTACACAACCTGCAAATTAAACCCCGATCTCTTAGCTGACCTAAAATATTACCCGTGCATCGCTACCAGTTTTTACTTACTCTGAGTTTGTGCTTCCTCGCAGGCACTAAATAAAATCTCTGAAAGGGCTGAAAGGGTAAACAAGTTTATTTCCTTCGTGCTGCAGGACTTCGGCTTTCACAGTTTGACAAGCCAGCAAGCTCACTGTGACGTAACGGTCGCACGCCGAGGTCGTCAGAAGAGGAGGGGCGGCTAAGCTGCCATATTGAGTGTGGCGAGATAAGAATTGCGGTTAAAGCAACTTTCCAAGTTTTGTCAAAATGTAAAGCATGAGACTGTAAAATAAATACTTCGACGGAAATGGAAACAAACCATTAAAAAGAAAGCATCAGGAGGTTTACAGTCACATTTTCAACTTACTTGTAGAATTATAATTAATCATACGTTGCTGCTGACTGATTTGCAATTGCACTTCTTAGAGCAATCCGTTTTGCAAATATTTCTGGGAAACATACTGTGATTGTTTATACAACAGATTTTATGTCCTACATGTCTGCAGACATAAGAACAGTTTTATTTTCGTTAGATTTAATGGGAAGTGAACGCAATTGGAAATGTTTATATGTTCAATTCCATTACATATAATGGGACACCATGTAACCATATTTAAGTTATAAAGTGCACTGAATTGAGTAATCGATTCATACCTACACTGCAAAATGGTTGGGGACACGCAGCAAAGAAAATATACTTTAACGCCTGTTTCTAGATTTAATTAAACTTTTCTCGTGAAATAACGGGCTTGATTGATTTTCGAGACTTCGACCGCCTCTTTCAAAATGGCCGCCCCCTCACGCTTGGGGGCGGTGGCCGGGAGCTCGGGTGCTCATTGGTGGAGTCAGAGAGGCGTGTGCGGGACAGGGCGAGGGGGCCAGGTGAGTTAAACAGCGCCAGACTGTTCCCACACTGCGTGGGTGATTTTAGCTGACGCGTACAAGTGCCTTCAAAACGCCTTAGGCCAAAAAAAGTTTGTCAGGTTTGCAGAGCGACGGCTATAACGGTGAAGCTTGTAACGACAGGGAAGCGCCATGGTTATTGATCATTGAATCGTAATTATTGTCCACGATTGAGTACCATTATATGCAATACTTATCTGTCGTATGTTGTTGTTATTATTATTTTACTATTATTAAACAAGGATTCTTGGAGATTTAATTAAATGAACCCTTGACAAGTGCTAAATAACTACCCTTTTAACACCTTTCGATGTTAGGGATTTTCGTGAATTAATAAAAGAAGTGGGTTTTAGTTGAAATACATGGAATGTGTTGTGCTTTTTTATTTCTATACGCCGGCACACTCGTGAAATTCGTAGCTCGACGGGGACATGGCGATTTGGACAGATTTTCTTTCGACAAGCTTCATTTGGTACAAACCTCAGACTTGCAAGAGAAAGAATAGTTCAAGCAAGCGTTCCTGGTGTCACTGGATTAGAAGAGACGAATACCAGTTCATGTTCTTATCTCTTTATGTACATTGGGACATTCAGGTTTAGCACAAATTGAAGTAATCAAGCACTGTAATGTACACGTCTACAGCTGCTGGGGTTCACATTGTTGCGGTAGCTTCAGCGCGTTGCAACATCTACTGGTTTGAGTCCGTGATCACTCCATGTGAAAAGTGGAAAGTTTCACCAGATAATCGATTCTCAGGCAATAATAAAAAGACTTTCCTTATTCTAATGGCCCGAGAGTTATCTTTCAGTTCAATACTGAAAGAACTGAAAGATAACTTCAGTTGAACAGAATTAAAGTAAATGTTACATCTTTGTCCGCTATGCCAGTCTGCTGTTGTACCCTGGGTGACGTTACTCCTAAATGTCTCTAGAGGGCGCCATTCTCAAAGGGAAAGTAATGGGAAACTAAACGAACCTTCATTTTACACCAACAGATCTGCCAATTATATAATAATAATACTAAACTTTATTTTAATAATACTAAACTTTATTTTA